TGTCAATGGTGTACCTCAGGTCTTCTCCTTGCCATTAAACAAAATTTTGTCGATATTGATGAGGAGCATTTGGGAAAATAGGCGGGACCCATTACCTATCACCTAGAATATGGAGTTCAAGCTTGGCGCCCGTGATTTCAAAAAGATTGCGAGCTACTGGAAGGAGTCTAAAAGAGGACAACAATAATTTTGAAATAACGCACTTGTCTTTATCTTAAGAATTCACACTTGGGACGCTTTACCTATTTCTTCTTGAATGCAGGCAAATCGGGGGAGATCTCATATAGACATACCGGCTCGTGAGGAATCGAGACTGTGGTGAAGACATCACACGAACACCGCGACCACGACCTCGCTAAGTCAGGCTGGAGATCAAGGAGCAAACCAGAGTGAATCGATCAAAAAAAGCCGACGTTCGTCTTTCATATAAAGAGAATTTTCAACTGGACTATTCTCTAACGGAAAGGCTGAAAAGCCTGGAACTCGTCTTGGAATAACAACCGAGGCGGACGAATGGCGAGCACATCCTAGCTTTTTCAGTGGGAAGTTAATTCAAAGGAATATGACTATCTTTTGAACCAGCTAGTAATAACGAGGGCGCGACAAGTACTCCACTGACCATACTTGTGTATCCCGAACACGATGCATTAGTGTCTCGCAAGACTAATTATTGTGACTCAAGCGCCAGAAGGCACTTTTCGAAAAACATCGCTTGAAAGAGGTCCAAATGACGCAAATCTATGAGCGTACTAGCTCGATACCCTATTGTATATTTCTTACGAGCTTGCCTATAAACCGGCAATAAATACAATCACAGTTACATTATAAATAAATAATTAACGTTCACATTTTAGCGCTAGAAAGGCGCTATCAAAATTTGCTTATTGGTGATCTTAGTGAGCGGCCGAATATACAACAGCAATAAGTAACATGTTAGGCAAATTATTTCACATTCACTGAATATTCGTTCTTTGAGAAAAATAGCTATCAAGCTTTAGAATATACTTGCAAACTAAGAAAGAAGCGGTGAAAGAAAACTTATATGACTAAAGTGGGACAGATTTCAGCGAGACCCCACTTTCAAAAAGGCCTGCAGCGGAAATAAGCTGCTTTGCGAAAATATATGGAGGATAGGTTGATACTGTAAGTACAGAGCAGAATGTGAGTAGGAAATGGCTTAAGAGTGTCCAATAAGACAAACAAATTTGTCTGCAATACGGAAGCTATATAGTTAACCAGCAAGGCGATTGGCTCGCCGTGTCTTGATGTCCTCACGGTCTATCGGCCACCTAGGATGAACCAAAATACCAGCACCCGCCCCTTGAAACAAATGGAAATTTATTCAGTCGACCTGATGTCATGATTATTGGCGAGTTCAATGAAACAGGAATTAACTGGAGCAGTGTTCAACCTTCGGGCCCAAAATCAAGTCTCGACTATTGTGGTTCTACGCAAAACATTGAAGGTTATTTTCACACAACATATCGCGTTTCCAACCAGAACACTTGAATGGCAAAGGGCAACTGTCTCAACCTGTTTTTTACGAAGGCATCAGGTAGCATCGATGCGGTCCTCTCTATATCTTCGCTCGGTCTAACTGACCATGTTGTGCTTATGAAGGACATCTCGTTATGCTCCGTTTTGCCTGCTGTTGACGAAAAAAGGCAAAACGTTTGGCGAAATAATTTTAACCAGATGCGAGAAGCTTTAACGGGTCTCGACTGGATCTTGCTGTTTTCGCGTAAAGTAAATGACGACTGGGGATTCTTGATGGATTTCTGTCTACAGCTCATCGACGATAACTACCCATTGACAAGTGTCCACAGGAACAAACGACCTGGGTAGCTCACTGACAACCTAAAGAGGAAACTAACATAAAGCATTAATTGCTGAAAAAATACTGTGAAACTTATGAAGTGCAATGCTTCAACAATTAAAAGCACAGAGAAACAAACTGAGAAACATGATGCTTAAAAGCGCCGGGATTTCGGGAAGAAATACAAGAAATAGACACCAAAGTCTGATGATGAAGACTATCTCGGGCATCGAAATCGCTGAAAACAAGGATAAAGCCGAGTGCTTTTCTCAGTTCATTCGACCAGTCTATAAAATTGACGCATGGTTCCTCCGGCCCTCCGCAGAAGAACCACCAACTGGAAGTATTGGCAATATCACTCTTTCTCATGTTCTGATCCGACGGGAATTGGGGAAACTAAAAGACTCGAAATCGCCAGGACCGGATCAGATTCCACTCAAAAGTCTCAAGGAACTTGTCTTTTAACTTTGTGTTTCTGTTAAGGATCTTTCAAAATCTATTTGACTCCGGAATGTTTCCTGTTGGTTGGAAGTTGGTGCATAAAAGTAGTTAACGGTATCCGTGACTCAGTACAGGCCCATAAGCCTGATAAGCATGATCCGCAATGTTATGAAAAGGACGATACGGCATGACAAATTTGCTGCTATCTCCCAAGAGCTAGACCCTAGCTCTCGAGGACAAGTACGAGGTTCATATCAACTTCACTGGCGTTCAAAAGCTTTGGACACAGTGCCAAATCAAAGACTGTTGCACGAATTAGAACAAATGGGGATCAGAAGCAAGATCCTTAAATGGATTGATAACTTCCTTGCTAGTCGGAACCACTTTGTGTGCAACGGCCAAGAGAAGTCGACTGCTGCTGCGGTCGAGAGTGGAGTTCCCCAGGGTTCAGTACTAGGACTCATCCTGCTCCTAAAATATGCGGAGGATTATGTCCGTGATTTATATTGTAACAAAGCCATTTGACAGCATTATCGGCAGTGCCATCTGTCTAGACTACCGACCGCTATGTGGCTGCAGGCGGTATTCGCGAACGAACCCCAAGACAAAGCGGGACGAGTAAGCTTCGTTAACTATCGATGAACGCTCGCCAAAAGCTGTTTGTCGATGACGTGAAAATCTGGTGTATAATCCGGGATCTTGTCGACCAGGATAGACTGCAAATCAAATTTTATCGGTGTGAAGAGTGGTCGAACCGCTTGGCTTCTGCGTTTCAACGTCAAAAATTGTATAACACTATGCCTAGGTAATCCAGCTAGATCATAAAACTGTGGAAACTACTGTTAGGAGCAAACATACCAGTTCCATGAAGCAGTTCAGAAGTAAAAGATGCGATCGCTGGAATAAGATGTTTAATTGCCGGTCGTTACGGATGCTGAATTGAACACAGCCTCACATATAGCCACAGAATAGGGCGATAAATTCACAGTAAACATAGAATTCATACTCCGTAGTGGCCACACGACCACAAACACACTAGTTGCGCAGTTGCAACAAAGCAGTTACGTCGTAAAAACTGGAAAATTCTCCGGACACGAATGGCTAAGCTTGCAGCAGCGGTGAGAAGGAAAGATGCTAACTCCCAGCTCACTCGATGGGACGCGGCCAGATTTGTAAATTTAAAATGGCTGAAATCCTAGCAAACGGGACAACCCCGGGAGTCGCGAGCTGCTCCAGTCAGGGTTGTCTGGCTTGCAGTCCATAAACAAGTGCAATGTTTTGCCGTTCCCTTATTCGGTACCGGGGCTTTGGCTGAGCAGGGGAATCAGTCATGTGGGGAGGGTGTGAGTCATCAACAATTTCGATGACAGCAAAGATAACTGGTACGTGATTATCGCTCCAACACCCAAGATGGATGATGAAATCACGACAATTGATGACTCGAAAGCGGACTACCAAGCCATCATCACATCAGTCATGCCCTCAAACGATGATCACGAGAACTGTAAATTTTAATGCGCTTTTGGTCCTTTGGCCGCTCCGGGTTATAAATGTTGCGTAACTTGTGCATTGATTAATCTACTCCGTGGTTATCTCAGATGGCTGGTTTAATACAGAGCACGACACCTCAGGCAATTAAACTTCTTTTTCCAGCGGTTTCATCTTCCATCTCTTAAATGCTTTATGGGACTCGTTTGCTCGCTTCTATCAACAGCTGTTCAACAGTCCAGCTCTGAGACGTGACAACCCAAAACGACCTTGCAGTTCCGACCAGGAATTACTTAAATCCATCCTGTCATTGCTCGGGAGCAGCGAATAGCGCAATTTCCGTAATACATGCCATCACTAGAACCTTTATGCGACCTCCAGTTTCGGCTGCACAAAGACAGCAAAGGCTTTACCAAAGCGGTCTTTATCAAATATGTAAAAAAAAAACATTTCACAAGGTACAGGACGGACGTCGCAGACTTAACTGCTTTTACACATTGTAGCGAGGGTTTAGGCGACGTCGTTATCCACATTCGCAAGTCCTTCTGCGCGTCCACTTCTTGCACTTGGATATCATTCAGGCAGTAAACCGTAGAATTTTGGGAACTAGGTCTACTAACGTGTAGGATACTGCACTTATTCTTATTAAACGGCAATCGCCAGCCCTTCGACCATGTTTGAAGTCGATTTAGGTTCGCCTGCAAATGCTATTCGTCACCTAGATTTATGAATGTGTTTCAAGTCTTAATATCATCGACACACATAGTGACATCACAATCTAATTAACAGACGAAGTCGCTAGAAATCCGCGGAGCTCGACAATTTTAAACCAAAGTAAAAAGTTGTCCTCCGCTTACAGCGACATTGTTGTCATTTATATTTCTGCCAGTGTCCCCACTCTCCGTCATTCGAAAACCTTTTCATATTTTATTTCTTTTATAAGAGGTCTGAAGTTCACAGTCTAGCCACAACGGGCGGTTGGTCGTCTTTTTCCTTTTCAGCGGAAAATGCAGAGTAACATTTCTTCGGAGAAAAAAAATAAATTTTATATTTAAGGCCCGGAGGACCTCATCGTTCAAACTTAGTGTGGTGGCCAAGGTAAATACAAGGTGGTAATTACTGTACTGTTTGTGCAACAACATAAGCACTCTAAGTTTTTAGTAGGTAATTTCATATCCGCCAACATTGCGTCATGTTAAAATAATTGTCAACACTTTCTGAAAAATATGGTCAACTAAGGAGAAAGCAGTGAAATGGACTCCTTCTATGAAAGCGGGGAACGAGTTCAACGAATCATACTGCATAAAAATAAAGCGTAGTAGAAAAGTGAATGCAATCCATTATTCGTTTACAGTCCCCCGTACACTTCTGGGATGCAGTACTTCAAAGTAGAAGGACCTACTGTCGAGGAACCTGAAAAGTATTTAGCGGGCGACCACAGATCGCGCCCGATGCAGCCGGCCTCGGCAGTAGCGGAACAGGACATTGTCACAAGCAGTTTGCGTGTCAGCCCTTGAAACACGTGGCCCCGCCGGCTCAGAAGGGGCTCAGAAGGGGCCAG